TGATGATACACAAAAACAACAACAACTAAAGAACTGTGATTGCTTCTTTCCACCTTTCATTGTATATAATTTCCAACATAAACTGTCGACTAATACAGAAAAGCATAAGAAAAGATAATATAAGGGATCTTGAATATCCATGTTTCTTGATTTGCCTTCTTTCTGTGTTCAGAGCAAAATCTGGTTCAATAAAAACGGTGGCCTCTCAGCTGTCAGCAGGCTCATTTTTCAGTTGTAGATGTAATGTGTTTACCTTGAACTTGCTTTGAGTCCTGCTGAACTCACAGACTTCTTGTGCTCACAGAGCATTGCAGACACTCAGCATATTGTTTATCTCTAGTCCTCACACGCATGCTCATTTGTCACATCGGACTTCTCTTAGAAAACTAAGACAGTAAGGGCAGAGCATTAAAAGGAGCACAGGCCAAACAGCACCAGCTACCCACCGGGGAGCCCAAAAGAGAGAAATTTTTCAGGACTCAGATGGAAGTCTCAATGTGAGCTACTGAGAGTCAAGGATTTATTGTGAAAGTTGAAAGAAGAAAGTCTTCCCCAAGGAATAGTGACAAGATTGAAGAGAGGTTAAACGGGAGAAAATGATTCTTAACTCAAAGCATGCAAAGACTCTTCTACCCTCTAGTAGATTGAGTCTCTTGAAGTCTGCGAAAACTCAGACCTTGGTCTCATGGATTCAGGACTTCAAGTGGTCCCTAATGTTTAATGTTTGTTGATCTAAATGGGTGCTCGAGGAGGGTCATTTGGACAATGTTAGGGTGGAGAACAGACAGAACACTCAAGCAGAGCTGGCTGCAGGGCCAGGGCCTCCCTCAGCACAATGCTGGCCCTGGGGATGTGGAAGTTTTCCCAAGAAAATCCTGAGAAGCCCAATGCCAGGAGGAGAGGAGCTGGAAAAGGTCCACTGTGGAGAGGATCAAGTGGTGGAAGGAGCCGTGCGCTGGAGGAGGTGGTGTTGGTGGGCTGGTAAGCCCTCCATCTCAGGGACCTGTTTCCAGCGGTTCTGTCTTCGTGTGTATCAGTCCCTAGTGCCTGCTCCGGCTTTTCTTCTGCATCCTGTCTGGTCTCTTAGCTCCCAGTCTGTCTTGGTCTCTGGCTCTTCTCTATTCCTTTCACTTTCTGCCCAGCCTGTCTCCTGGCCTCTAGCTGTATCTTTTCTCTTTCCAACTCCCTGCTTGGGGCCCCCTCTGTTGAGCTTACAATTGCTTCCTTCAGGGTTTCCGAGTCTTTTCTGGAGACATCTTTGCCTCCGCACAAACTTGCCTTCCACCTCCGCGTCCCAAACCTATGCCGTCCAGTAACTAGGGCGGGAGTAGAGGACCCGCCGCCTTGTCCCGAAGAGGCAACAGGGGGCGGGTCCAATAGCTCTCTCCCTATCTGCATATGTAGGAGGTAGCATGGGCCAGCCACGGGGAGGCGGGGCTACTGGGGTGGGAAGGGGGCGGGCACCCCAGAGCCGCGGAGTATAAAGACCGCCAGCCTCTGTCGTCGGCCCCGCACTGCTGAGGAGCGGAGCCTCCGCCTGGGGGGCCCCTATCTTTGGCTGTCTCTCATCTGCGCGTCCCTACCCCACCTCCGCGCCCGAACTGGTGCGGTGGTCTCCGCTCGGCGGAGAAGCCCCACTCCACAGCTCCACTACATCTCGGATTTCGGGGCGTCCCCCTCCCCCACCTTTCGCACCTCGCTTTTTTCTGCGTTTCGCTTGGGTTTTGTAACAAGCCGTCTATTTTTGCACCTCTTTACGCTCTGCTTCTAGGCGGTTTGGTGGTGAAGCCGCATCCGCACCTCCCGGCCCCTTTTCACCCTTCCCTGCTCTGACAGCCCTGGTTTCCATTGCAGTCGGGGGGCCTGCGGTCGGTGCATCCTCCGCTGCGCTGCCAGCACCCCGTAACGTGTGGCTCTACACCTCCGAATTCGCAGCAGCTGCAGATCAGAGGCGGGGGGTCTCCCTCGGCCCCGCCGCCTGTGCTCCGCGCGCGGTCTGGTGCGTGGGGGGCTTCAGTGCGCGGCACCCCCGCTTCTCCGCAGCCCCCCGCCTCGTACTCGCCCGGCGCTGCCAAGATGGTCATCCGGAAAGAGAAGAAGAGCTGCGGGCAGGTGGTTGAGGAGTGGAAGGAGTTCGTGTGGAATCCGAGGACGCACCAGTTTATGGGCCGCACTGGCAGCAGCTGGGGTACGCAGGGCAGGCGCGCGGGGTTCGGGGGGCACCGAGGCACGCCTGGTGGGCGCAGCGCTCGGCCAGGGAAGCCCCAGCGCCCCTCCCGGGTCCGGCGTCCGGCCCTCCTGCTGGGCTCCGGGCGGGGAGGGGGCCGATCACCAGCCTAATCTCCCTGGCTGGCCGCTGCGGAGGCGGAGAAAGTAGGTCACGGCCGCCTTCCCGCCCCCCGCGGAGCCCCCTCAGGCGGGGGGTCGCGGGCTGTGCGCGTGTCCTCGCCGTGGCGCTCGCGCTCCTCCTCTGGATCTGGGCGCTCCGCGCTCCCAGCGCGCCCCTTCCCTCCCCAGCTCCAGCCAGCTCGCTAACCCTTTCTATTTTTAGCTCGTGCCCACCCCCTGGACCTTGGGAACGTTCACGAGGGGGCGGGCCTTGAGAAGGTGGGGGGCGTCAGTGCTGAGGTGGGGGAATGATCACAGTTATCTATCTGGCACCGCTGAGTGTTGGGAGTCCCCTGTGGCTGCTCTGTGGGTGGGGGAACTGGTGAGGAGGGGGCCCTGGTCCGAAGCTGGCAGTTCCGCCTGGATCTTGGCGGTGGAGGGAGGAGTGATGACTGGTAGGGAGATATGCACATCATCTGGCGGGTGTGTCTGGAGTTGAGGTGATTCCTGCCTCAGAGCGTATCCACACACACACACACACACACACACACACACACACACACACACACCCCAAGGCGGAACCGAGGACATAAGGAGCGAATTTGTGTGTGGTGTGGGGTCTGAGGATGAGCAGCAATGCAGGGAGGGGAAGAATTCTTCCAAAACTACTTGTCAAATTTGGAAGTCAAAGCACAGGAGACACAGTGCGTCAGTTTACCGTTCGTATAACATTGACACTGTCCCCATCTGCTCCCCCTCCCTTGAATCTGATCCTAGTTCAGCCCCCCCACCCCCACCCCGAGATCCTAGAGATACAGAATGTTTGGAGCCTCTGAGGAAGTGGCTTCAGAGATGGAAGAGCTGGGCATGTGAGGAGTGAGAAGTGCAAACAGTAGTCACTTCCACCAGGTGTTGGGTTGATGGCAGCCAACAGCCATGCACAGGGACCTAACTAGGTCGGAGGAGGCCAATGGGAGATTCCAGAGCATTCCCTGACTCTCTGCTTGCTGGGTGCTGTGGGTGTTGGAGTGTGACTGGTGAAGGCCATGGCAGCTGTCACTCTCGTTTTTTATAGCCAGGCTGGAGTGTGAGGTCCTTCATTTCAGAAACTTTGGCTTCTGTGGGGGACCAGGAAAGAGAAGCTGTAGCTATTTGACTGTAAGGAAGGTCCAGACTCTGGTCAAGAGCTTGATTGTGAACAGGCCAGAGCTAGCACAAAAAGTCGTTGGAGTGGAACAGTTTTAAGCACAAGTACCAAGGTAGTGGCAGCAGATGTTGTGTCTATTTCAGGGCCACAGATGGTTGAGAAGTTGAGAATGTGATTTGAAGCAAAATTATTTCAGCTTACACTTGGAGTTGTCCCAGCAACGAGAGTTTAGGTCTCTTGTGGCCACAATACTCTTATGTTTCACGGTGTTCTAGGATCAGGAAGGGTCTGGGAATCCTGACTGGAAGTCAGACACAACTGCCTACTTCCAGCTTGTCTGACTTTGCTCCCAGGGGAAGGCTTGAAGATCTCTGATCTCCCAGAGCAAATTTTCTGAGGGGCTATCAGTGTGGGCGGGCATAAGTGAGGTCATGGTGGGAGACTTGAAGCCTGCTGACCCTGCTTCTTCCTTCCAGCCTTTATCCTCCTCTTCTACCTCGTCTTCTATGGCTTCCTCACAGCCATGTTCACACTCACCATGTGGGTGATGCTACAGACTGTTTCTGACCACACCCCCAAGTACCAGGACCGACTGGCCACACCGGGTGAGTGAGGAGGTATCCCTAGCACCCCCATGCTAACCATTGTCATGCTTCCCACACCTCCAGAAAGAATTCATAAGCTAAGAAAACTTGAAAGATGGTGTTTGGTTCTGATGCTCTAACTCAGTTTGTTTCTTGGACATTTTTTTTAATTCTTCCTTCCTTCCCAATTCCTCCAGCTGAAAGATGTGTTCTGGGCTGATGGCAGATGTTCACAGAAATCTTCATGAAGAGCTTGACCCCATCTCTCACCTTAATGTGCCCTATGTCCAACTTATTCTTTCTGTATGCGGTTCCTCATTTCACATATACCCTATGCCCCTGCCCTTGTGTAGGCTTGATGATACGCCCCAAGACTGAAAACCTTGATGTTACTGTCAACGTCAGTGATACCGAAAGCTGGGACCAGCATGTTCAGAAGCTTAACAAGTTCTTGGAGCGTGAGTGTGGGGAGTGTTCAGGATCTTGAATAGGGCCTGGGAGACCCTGCAGGCAGGCCATGAAGCCTCAACATTATCTCTCTCCTCCCCCACACCTCCATAGCTTACAATGACTCCATCCAAGCCCAAAAGAATGATGTCTGCCGCCCTGGACGCTATTATGAACAGCCTGATAATGGAGTCCTCAACTACCCTAAGCGGGCCTGCCAATTCAACCGGACCCAGCTGGGCGACTGCTCTGGCATCGGAGACCCCACTCATTACGGTTACAGCACTGGGCAGCCCTGTGTCTTCATCAAGATGAACCGGGTACCTACAACTTTGGTCCTCAGGCAGAGGAGGGGCGCTGGAGCCAACAGTTCTGTTGTTTCATTTCAAGGGGCTGATAAGGAGCCCCTGTGGTGGTGTGGTTATGCACTGGGCTGCTGACTAGGAGCTTGGTGGTCTGAACCCATCGGCTATTCTATAGAAGCAAACTGTGGCAACCCGCTCCAGTCAGCTTTTTCACTTTAGATACCCTCCAGGGCAGTGCTATCTGCCTTACAGGGTCATTATGAGTCAGAATCAACTCTGTGACAAAAGGTTGCATTTTTTTTTAATCAATTTGTACCATTATTCACTTTTTAAAAATTTATTTTATTTTTTAATGTGTGTGTGTGTGTGTGTGTGTGTGTGTGTGTACTATCAAATCAGATCTGACTGGTACAGGAGGAGATTGTTCCTCCTTCTCCAGCAGAGACCATCATTCATTCACTTTCATATAATTGTTCACATACATTGTTTCATTCATGCACATCTTGTTTAAGTTGGGGGTGTTTAAAGAATGATTAGGGAGTCCCTGGGTGTTGCAAATGATTAATGCACTTGGCTGCTAACCAAAAGTGCTCTGGGAACAAAGCCCTGGGGACCGACTTCTGAAAATCAGCCACTAGGTTCTACCGTCACACCCACAAGAATATGTGACTTATGAGCCCCTTTAAAGGCAGCTGGTTGGTTCATGAAGATTAGAGACTGCTCAATGTTCTGAGAGAACAAAAGGGGGGGGTACCGCTGGAGGGCGGAAGATTGGACACCCTGTGTCTTTGACAACTTCCTCTCACCCCCACCACCCTCCTCCCTCACTCCAGGTCATTAACTTCTACGCAGGAGCAAACCAGAGCATGAATGTTACCTGCGCAGGGAAGGTGAGTCTGAGGCCTTGTCCACCTGTGTCCCTCTGTCCACAGTTTGTCATAGTCTCTGTGTTAATTCACTCATCTCTTCCTATCTTCTCTGCTCCCAGAGGCCCCGTCACTATAGGGATAAGGGGGTAAGAGTGGGTGCCTACTTGCTTTCACCTCCTCCTTGCTTCTCTTTAGGATGCAGAAGCTCACTCTGGTGTGGACAGAGTGCTTCCCCCAGCCTCTGGCTTTCTCCTCAAACCTGTCACCTCTCCTTTCTTCCCTGGCCCACAGTATGTTGTTTCCCCTCCGCTCTCACCTGCTCCTCAGTTCTCTTTAGGGATCCAGTAGCAGCTGATTGATTAGCACCTGCCACCACTGAGGGGGCTTTGCAGGCCATCCCACCCCCATTCTCTCCTGGAACTTGCAATCCCACTCCATTCACAACCCTCTTGCTTCTTACTGAGCCCTTACTCATTTATCTGTTCTCTCTTGGCTCTGCTCCAGAAACCGATTCCTGAGGATGGGGTAAGAACTTGGGGTGGGAGCTGTGTAGGAGGCTTTAGTGTCATTAGCACCCTTCAGGAGTTCCCAGTCTGATGAGAGAGACAAGCTGTCCCTCCCGCACACATTGCAGACTCGCAGCTTGAGGGAGACGCCATCGAAGGCAGGAATAATTTAGGGATGAAAGAAGAGCAAAAGGAAATCTGGGGAACCTTGCATCTCCAGGTTCCTGCCTTCCACGGCATGTGCTCCCTCCTAACTCTCTGCACCCCCACAGCGAGATGAAGATGCCCAGAACCTTGGCAACTTTGTCATGTTCCCCGCCAATGGCAACATCGACCTCATGTACTTCCCCTACTACGGCAAAAAGTTCCACGTAAGTCCTGCGGGAGGCTGGGCTCCTGAGTCCTTGCTGACGGCGGTTCCCAGGAAGAAATGGGGTTTTCATAGGCCTAGACCCTCACTCTCCCCTTCTGGACCAGGTGAACTACACGCAGCCTCTGGTGGCTGTGAAGTTCCTGAACGTGACCCCCAATGTGGAGGTGAACGTGGAATGCCGCATTAACGCTGCCAACATCGCCACAGATGACGAGCGAGACAAGTTCGCTGGCCGTGTGGCCTTCAAACTCCGCATCAACAAAACCTGAGGCCCCCTTCCTTCTGCCCCTACCTCTTTTCCCGCAGATGCTTCTGGAATGTCCCTGACCCTGCCTGATCCCTCCCTCACCTACCCCAAAGGTATTTTTTATAACAGAGCTATGATTTGTCTGAGCCTCACTCCTTCTCCGTGACTCCCCTGTCCAGTCTGGTGTCCACTGTGATTCCCTGGCTACACACACGTTTTCTGGCTTTCTTCTCCCCACCCGAGCCCCATCACCATGGCCACAGAGGCGATAGGAGCTGTTCTAATTCTGTGTTAGCTGTGAATGGAATGTCCTCACAGCTACCCACCTCTCCTGACCCCTATCCCCAGAGAGCTGCGAAAACGTTCAACTTTTGGCTTCCCAGAGATGAAAGCAGTACCCATTCTTCCATTCCCAAGCCCTTCTCCTCCTGCTCCTCTTTTGGCCTCACCTACACAGCGACTGTCTTGGTGGCTTTTGACTTCACTAATTCCTCCGCAGGTTTTCTGTTCCCTTCCTATCCCCTTCTCTGGAAAGAAAGCATTTTTAGTTGAAGACAAGGTGTCTCTGTGGCCTTTCCCCCGTTTCCTCACATATTTCACTTCTCATCCTCCCTGTGGTGACTTCGTGAGCTGGGAAATGAGGTTTCCTCCCCGGGGAGAGATTGGAAGAGAAAGCTGTGTTGACTCTTCTGGAACATTCCCTAGTGATCCCCCCTCCCAGGTCCAGTTCCTCCCCAATTCCTCCCATCTCCCACATAGCCACTGACTGCATTGAGGGGTGGAGTGGATCTAAGATGAATATTCACTTTGTTTCTATCAATGTCTCCCTTCCCCCTGTGAGCTTTCCCAGAATATCCTTCAAGTTCCACTTCCTAGGGAGCCCTGGGGGAGGGGCAGCCATTTTGGCTGTGTCCCCAGTGGCCACCTTGTGAAATGTCAGCTCAGCATGCTAGGGGACGATTCCACTGCCTTCCCCTGGGCCCAGACTTGCCCCCACCATCCTCTCTGGCTTTTCTTAGCAAGTTATCAACTAATCACTAACCCCCTCTCTTTCCTTTGCATGTCTGCCTGAAAGTTTCAAATTCCCCCTCGATCCAAGCTCTGAATTTCTTGGCTCCATCTCCATCTCCTTCGGACCCATGGTGCCCGTAGAATGTTAAGTGAGGGGCCTGAGTATGCCTTAGTTACCGAAGCATTTGAACTCTCTCTCCTTCAGCTTCCCCCTCACTTACTCGTCCTCTTCCCTCGCGTTCTTAATGCTGCAGCGGCCTCCCCACCTCATCCACAGACGGACTTGCCCCTTTCTATCTTGCTGGCTCTGTCTCTTCCCTTTGGGCTTCCTTGTTTTCCTGTCCCCCTCTCCCCAGGGGTTTACGCTCTGCAGTTATTTAATGCCTGTGTCAGATCTACTGTAAAAAGAGGATAAAGTACAATAAAATGAGAGCAATTATATATATAAATATATATCACACACAGCCCTGTGTGCGGCTGGTTCCTTTCTAAGCATTTAGAGGAGCCCCAGGTGGATTTGCGTGAGCTTGGAGGTTAATCAGGCCTTGAAGATGGCTTCCTGCCATTGGTCTCATCCTTCCAGAATCTTAGTATCTCGTCTTCTTCAACGATACTGATTTAATGCATACTATATAGGTGGGCCCGGGGGTTGTGTTGCCAACCTAAAGGCAAGTGGTTTGAATTCATCAGCTGTTCTTCAGGAGAAAGAAGGGACCTTCGGGCACAATTTAGAACCTCTGAAAACCACTAGAGCCTCAGCCAGGACTCCACCCCAACTTGATGGCAACAAGATGTTGAGATCCAGGAGCCCTGGTGGCACTAGGGTCAGGTGCTAGGCTGCTAATGGGAAAGTCGATTCAAACTCACCAGTGTGTCTGCTGAAGACCTGGTGATGCACCCCATAAAGAGTGCTGCTGTTGTTGTTAGGTGCCATCAAGTCCAGTATGACTCATTAGTGATCCTGTGAACAAAAGATCTGAACCCTGTAGAAACCTTAAGGTGCAGTTCTTGATTCTATAGTTGTAAGAGTCAAAGCCAGCTTGGTATCCACAAAACAAACTCTAGATCAGGAGTCCCTGGAGGGCACAGATGGCTAAACAATGGGCTAACCAAAAGGTTAGGAGGCTTGATTCTACCCAGAGGTGATGGAAAAGAAAGGTCTGGAAATCTACTTCCAAATGGTCATAGATATTGAAAGCCTATGGAGCATATTTTACCCTGAAACAGGAGGGGTTGCTAGAGTTGGGATCAACTTGAAGGCAGCTGTGGTTTGTCTTTTTTAAAAAATCTTAACATTATTCAACACTGAGAGAGGCAAGAGGCTACACCTATCTGCACAACAATACTTACAAAATGCCTACTATGTGCATTCTAGGAATTATGAGGAGACACTTTGAGAGAGACAGTTCCTGCCCTCAAGGAGCTCCCAGTTTTAACAGGAGAGGTGAGGAGCACGCAATAAATTCTCAGACAAGGGAGAAGCAAGCCTACTTCAAGAAAGAAACAGCTGTTGGCAATGAAATTCAGTGATCAACAAGCTTAAGCTGGGTTTAATGGATGTGGTAGGAAAAGAGGAGAATTAGCAAAAGCCTAGAGGTGGATGAGAAAACGACTAGGTGTGAAGGCTGCATAGTGGGGTGGACTTGGGCGGAGGGAGTGTATAACAATGAAAGAATTTTTCTTTTACTTTTCAAAGAGAAGAACAAACTGGGGGAGAGGGGTGGGCAGGGAGAAAAGAGCAACAATGAATGAATGGAAATCCAAAGTCTGTAAATTTTCATTAACAATTTTAAAAAAGAAAAATCATACAAAAAAACCACTAGGTAATGTATGACCCTATTTTATTTTTGTGTGAGTATACCTTCAAATCAGATCTGACAGGTACAGGAGGAGATTGCCCCTCCTTCCCCGGCAGAGCATCTGGTGGATTCGAACTGTGTGCCTCTGGGATTGTAGTTGCAGCTCCTTGCCACTAGGCCACCAGAGCTCCTCTTATATGACCCTATTTTAAAAAGAGGAATACATATGCATAGGAAGGGTGATGGATATGTAACAGCAATATTTCTTTCTTGCTGTTTGTTATTTCTGGGGGAAGGACCCCGGTGGCATAGCAGATTAAGCATTGATCAGGCAGCTAACTGAAAGGTGGGCAGTTGAAACCCACCACCTGTTCCCTGGGAGGATGAGGTAGCCTATGCTTCTGTGAAGTATCAGTTCTGGAAGTCCTGTGTGCAGTTCTGCTCTCCTACAGGGTCACCAGGAGTTGAGTCCACTCCACAGCAGTGAGTTAATGGGGCAAAAGGACGGATAATTTTAATTTTCTTCTTGGGGCTCATTTATCTCCTTCTTGCCATGTGTTGGGTCATAGTATTTGTCTGAAAACGGTTTTATTATCTATACATACAAGTATACACAGTTATCTTGTGGAAGTATTTTACTAGATAGCACATAAAGAAGTGGACTAATTTTCTTAATGGCTGCACACAATTCTGTTTTTGCATTGAGTGGTTACTCTCGGTTTTTTAGTGCTTCCTGAAAATTGTGAAGATGAACTGCATTGCTGTCGCCCCCAACCTATTGTTTACCTCTTGGGGACTATTTTTGCTGTTGAAGTCTTTGGCTTTGTATAAATATGTTTAGTCGTGTGTAGTTTGAGTTTACAGCCTTCATTAGGAAGATCTTCTCAGAGGCTAGAGTATGTTATTTTCCATTTTTACAGAGGGAAAAAAAAGTCCTTTCGATTTCTAATAGATTGTACCTAGCAATAAACTAGGGTTTATAAACATGGTATAAACTGGAGATACAATTTTATTTTTCCAATTGTACTAGACTGACTTTAAAAAAATTTGTGATTTATTCCTGTGGAAATGGACATGACAGCTTTGGTTATAATAGTAAATTCTTCTCCATCCTGAAATTGATTTCTAGATTCCTCGAGTTCTGGTTTATTTACCATCCTGCTCTACCTACCACGTCATATTCATCTTATGTTTGTAGTTTTGCTTTCTGCTATCAATTAGAGCTTTCAGTTTTCTAAACAATTAGTGTTTATTCTTGGGCATTTCTTCTTCTCTATAAAATTTCCAGTTTTACCTAATTTATGAAAATGCAAACATTAACAACTATTGGTTTTTTTGAGACAATGTATTCTTTACTTGCTATTAATAGACTTGAACATATTTTTTTAAACTTGTATTCATTCATTTTAACCCATTTTACTTCCTGACTCCCTTCCCCCCACCCCCAACCCCCAGCCCACTTTACTATACAACTCTTATTCTGGACTCTTGTCACGCCAATAATACCTATTCATAGGCTCAATGTCAAGAAGACAAAGATTCTCACCACTGGACCAATTGGCAGCATCAGGATGGATGATGGTGAAGAGACTGAGATTGTTCACAGCTTGTTTGCTTGGCTCCACAGTCAACATTCTTGGCACCAGCAGCCAGGAAATTAAAAGACATATTGCGATGGGAAAGTCTGCTGTTAGAGACCTCTCCAAAGTACTTAAGAGCAATGGTGTCTCTCTGGAGACTAAGGTGCATCTGATACAGGTCATGGTCTTTGCAATCACTTGTTATGCATCAGAGAGTTGGACAATGACCAAGGAGGATAGAAGGAGAATTGATGCCTTTGAGCTGTGGTGCTGGAGAAGAGTATTGAGGGTACCATGGACTGCTAAGAAAACAAACAGGTTCATCCTGGAGAGGGTTAAACTGGGTGGCTCCTTGGAGGCAAGGATTCTGAGGCTTTGTTTGACCTACTTTGGACATGTAAGGAGGGACCGGTTCTTGGAGAGGCACATCATGCTTGGTAGGGTAGAGGGACAGCGCAGGAGGGGAAGGCCCTCTATGAGGTATATTGATTCCGTGACTGGGTAATCGGGATGGGTGTATCAGAGACAGTGAGGTTGGACAGGACAGAGCAGAGTTTAGGGTTGTTGTACATAGGGTTGCTATGAGTAGCAAGCAACTCGATGGCACATAACGACGTTCTTTTCATAGTCCTCTCCCTCATCTGTTTCAATGCAGTGTACATTACCCCCTTTTCTCTTTTCTAAGTTCCCCCCAACCCCCTATCAGTCCTGTTCTGTAACAGTGGCATTATACAGTATTTGTCTTTTTGCGACTGAGACATGTCACTCAGCATAAAGTCCTCTATGCACACCCATTTTGCATATTTCATTAGTTGTTTTTCAATGCTGTATATTCCATTGTGTGAGTATATCACAGCTTCTCTATCCATTCATTTGTTGATGGGCACTTGGGTTGTTTTCAACTCTTTGCTATTGTGAACAAAGCAGCAATAAACATGGGTATGCATTTATCTGCCTGGGTGGCAGTTATGGTTTCTTTAGGGTATAGTCCCAGTAGTGGAATTGCTGGGTCAAAAGGTATTCCTATTTCCAACTTTTTGAGAAAGTGCCATAATGCCTTCCACAGTGGTTGAAACATTTTACACTCCCACCAATAGTGACTGTTCCAGTTTCTCCACAACCTCACCAACATTTGTTGCTTGCAGCTCTCTTAAATTTTGCTATTCTTTCTGGGGTGAGATGATATAGTTGTTTTGACCAACACCTATTGTAATCTTAACAGGAATTGCATTGTATCTATTTACCTGAGAACTGACTTTAAGACATTTTTTTTCCCTGAGAACACAATATTTTTGTTTTAATCTTGGCTCTTGTCCTTAGATTTTATAGATTAATACACAGCAACAATTTTAGTCTGGAGACTTAAGGTGTGCCTGATCCAGGCTATGCATCAGAAAGCTGAACAATGACTAGGGATGATAGAAGAATTGATGCCTTTGAGCTGTGGAGCTGGAGAAGAGTGTTGAATATACCATGGATGGCTAGAACAAACAGGTTCATCCTAGAGAGGGTGAAACCAGGATGCTCCTTGAAGGCAAGGATTCCTAAGCTTCATCTGACATATTTTAGACATGCTGCAAGAAGGTTCCAGTCCTTAGAGAGGGATGTCATACTTGGGAGGGTGGAGGGACAATGCAGGAGAGGAAAATCCTCGATGAGATGGATTGACTCAGTGCCTGGGGTAATGGGGGTAAGTGTGTCAGACAATAAGGTTGGTACAGGATAGAGCAGGGTTTAGGGTTGTTGTGCATAGGGTCGCTGTGAGTCATGACTCGCCAGCACACAATACAGATTCTATGCCATTTTTACTGTTTATCCATATTTTGTTGGTTTTGTTATCAAGCAGAGTATTTTTCATTCATTTTCTCAGTGCTTTCATTAGAAAATCCAATTAGTACTTCTGCATTTATATGCTATTTGTTTTACCAAATTTGCCTAATTCTACAAATATCAGTCCATGTCACCAGCAAAGTTTTTAGGAGGTTTTTGGGGAGGAGGTCCTTTTATATCTGTGTTATAGTAAACATTCCTGTCTTGTTATTTTAATGGTTTGCCACTTAGAATATTAACTTACTGATATTCCATTACCAGCCTATTGCGATTTTTTTGTGTGTGTGTACAGTCAAATCAGATCTGACTGGTACAGGAGGAGCTTGTCCCTCCTTCCCCGGCAGAGCATCTGGTGGATTCCTAACTGTGCACCTCTGGGATTGTAGTTGCAGCTCCTTGCCACTAGCCACCAGAGCTCCCCAGCAATTTTAATTATTTTTAAGGGCTGCTGAAATAAAATTCTTTTCAGCATCTATTGATATGATCATGTAATTTTTCTTCTTTATTACGGTAATGAACCGTGGATTCTCTGCTGCTAAACCAGCTTCGGACTTTAGAATAAATCTGTTTGGTCCTAGTTTATGTACTTCATTGGTATATTCTGCAAATCTCATGCCACTGACACCCTTGAAGAACCTGCTGGAAGGGTCAGCTATGAGTAGGTTCCTGTTTGCCAGTGATGAACTTTTTTAGGAGTTTGATGACAATTTTATTTTTAAATTTTAAAATGTATTCTATCCTAGGTTCTTTTCTCTTAATTTAAAAATAGTAAAAATTACCTAAGGCTATGCATTTTTCTCAGATTACAACTTTTGCTGGGGTTTCACAGATTTTAGGACAAGGTTCTTGAAACCAGGATGAAAAATTTAATGTTCTTAAAAATCATTTAAGAAAAACAAGATAAAACAACAAACTAGACCTGTGGATTGCTAGTTTGAAGACTCGGGGTAAGATTCCAACGTGAAGGTAGAGGGCCTTGGCTGTGTGCGCTTGAGGACCGGGCGAACTTGTCACGGTTGCGTAGTTACATGGTATGTAATAAGACACCAGTGGGTGAACAATATAACTAGATTAAATGAACAAGTGCAACAGAGAGGACCTCTGGTGGCTGCATGTTAAGCTGAGCTACAATTCCGAAGGTACATAGTTCAACTCCACTGCTTCTCTTTGGGAGGATGGGCAATCCTTTCCTGTGTGATTTACTACCTCTGAAATCTGCTGGAGGGTCAGTTGTGATTTGATGGCACACAGCAAAGGTCACAGAGCTCAGAGCAGATAGATCTAGGACCAAATCCAGTCTAGTGTTCTACCACATCACAAAGAGCGATCAGCAGAGCCAGAATGTTTCTTGAGCCCAGCAGAAATGAAAACAGAACATGGGACATAATCTAGAGAAATGTTGAGGGTGAGGAGATGCTGGACACTGGCCCAAAAAGGGAACTCCAAGGTGACCTATGCACAAGTGCTGGCTTACCAGGGCGCTCAGAGAGTTCCCTGAAGGAGGTGGTTCAGGTCTCCTGGGGAGTGTTTGGCATTTGCTAGCAAGAAAGAGAAAAACTTTGGCCAGAAAGACTTCTGGCTTTCCAATCCTTAGGGATCCTAGGGCCAAAACAAGGAACTGTCACTGGCACTCAAACCTGGCTGACTGGCGGGAGAGGGCAGTGGCCTCAGAAGCCCCTTTGGATTTTAGCATTCTCTTTCCCCATAGAGGTAGAGGCAGGACAGGCCACGTCCCCACCGTCTGGCCATCCCTGCAAGCACTGGCTTCAGCAGCATGGGTGATGGGGGGAGCCTGCCCCTCCAGCCCCCCTCCCTGGGAGCCAGTGGCATTGAAGAAGAGGGCAGGGCAAGAGTGTGCCTGGTTCCCCAACCCCAACTCTCCTCCTACCCTAAGAAGCCCTTTGAAAGGTTTTCCTGGCAGAGTTTAAAGCTTCAATTCATTCCACTACCTGGCATACAGCCCAGGATGAGAGGGTGCCGGGAAGGTCCCAGGCCCTCACCTTAGTTGCCCCCACTCCCCTGGAACCCTTGCTGGCATGCCTCCCACTGACCACTCTCTTCATCTCATAGCACCCATCCCTTTCCCTTTGGGAACCCAGGTATCCCGCCCTTCTCCCTAGGAGCAGATGGCCACCCCAGGAGCTCAGGCTTGCTAAATCAGACATTTAAATCCCATAATCCTTGGTGAGAGGGGGCAGCAGCCCAATCCTAGCAGCAGTGGTGGGGGAGAGCCTCATGCCAGCCCTGGCAGGATGGGAGGGACAGTTGGTTCCCAAGTTATGAATGGAGTCCCCCCCTCCCTTGTTGTCATGCAGCCCACAGTCTGACCCAGTCTCCAGCCTTTGTTCCCTTCCCGGAACCCAGGCATTGGGGCCCCAGCCCATACCCCCTGGAGTCCCAGGCGCTGCTTCCCAACTTCACCTTCTTACTCATCCCTGCACCTGCAGGTCACACTGGAACCCACCCCTCAGACACACAGGTGATAACAAAACTTTATTGTAAAAAAAAAAAAAAAAAATATATATATATATATATATAAATGGGATATAAAAAGGGTAGGGGAAAGGGGTGCAGGTGAAGAATGCAGATGTGCCTTGCATAGCGCAATAGAAACTATATCCTGAGTTTCCTGGGGGCAGTATAACAGATAGTAGTGGGTAGAGATCCCACGAGAGCTGGAAGCCTCCAGAAACTGGGATGGGGTGAAGTTTCTTTCTGGGGTGTTTAGGTTTATCCAAAGGCCAGAACCAGCAGAAAAAGGACTTGGAAACTCCCTCTTTTGAACCAGCTGCTCAATCAACTCATTGCTCAATTGGGATAAAGAGCCAGCAGTAGGCCCAAGGGGTCAAGTCCCAGATGCCATGTAACCAGACAGGCTGCTGACTTGCCAGCCCCCCTGCAATATTAGGGCTGTACACAGACAGATCATCATCCTCACAGCAAAACAGTGAAACAGTCTCACCATTTTATGGATGTGCACACGCTGTCAGGAGAAAGGGAATATTGATGTTGCTCCCTGGCTAGCCCGCTGGTGGTCTGGCCTTCCAATGCAAGTATGGCTGGTTCTTTGAACATTTTCCCATCTCTCTCAAGCATTCCGTATAAAAAAAGTTAAGCTGGAGTGTCCCAGCACCCCTCACCCTCCAAAACACACCAGTGGAGACCAGAGTAAATGAAGAGTTTCTGGGCACTCGAGGCACACCTGTACGTAGCGGGGGGGGGGGTTCAAGCACCTGAATTTCAAATGCTAGGAAAGGAAGGCTGGGGTGGGGCGAGTAAACGGGACAGGCAGCAAAGGCCATCAGTCTGAGTCCGGCCCCTCTCTCTTGAAATTAGCTGTTTTATGGCAGGAGGTAGACTGTCCCTTCTTAGTCTTTGGGGGGCTACAGGAGACAAAAAGGGAGGGAGGGGGGAGAAAACAATCCATCATGAGTGAGAGGGTAGGGCCCTTGGATCATGGTTTTCAAGTGTCTGAGGATGACATCAGACAAATTTAAGTTAAATTGTAACCGCTATCTGTAGCCAGGTTTACTGAGTGCATGCATGCATATTTAATGTCTTCACTCAGCCCATTTTACAGAGGAGGACACTGAGCCTGAGGAAGGGTAACAAGGTCATAAAGGACTTGATGGTATTGAGTTCTTCCTGACACTTTGATGGTTATTAAGGCCCTAGTTGAGATCTGAGATAGAGTCTGCTGGGAATGACAAAGATATACCCACTATTCTCTGGGCTCATGAGCTCCCCAAGGCAGGGAGGTGCAAGTGGAGGGAGACTTTCTGGGGATGCTTGAGTAGGGTATGGGAGGATCAGAAATGGAATCCTGAGGCTTTCCGACAGAAGGGAGGATAGGGTCTGGTCAGGCACCCAGGTCACTCACCTGGAGTGAGCCCGGGTCCCATCTGGATCCGCAGCATCCTTCATCTCCAAAGCCTCATTCAGCTCCTGGAACATCCTGAAGCGTTTATACCCACGAATCTGCAGGAGTGAGTTGGGGATAAAGAAGTGTTGGCTGTGAGATAAAGAACTCAATTTGGCCTTTTGTTTCTGAAAATAGCCCTTGGGAATTCCCCAGCAATCAAAGTCTTCTGAAATAGCCAGACAGACTTAAACAAGTGCAAATAATTGGGAGCCCCAACCTTACCTTATCAACAGACCTCACAAAGGGAGGGGGCTTGATACAGCGAATCAGACAGAGTCTTCAAGTCATGCATCTGCATTAGACTTCAAACACTAAGGGACCTTAAACTTGGGAGCTCTAGGAATGGGGGAAATTTGATGCACAGGAGAGATGAGGTATGCCCCTGGGGACAGTGGAAGTCCCAACAGTGAATGCTCCCAGACCTTCCCTTTAGCATCCTTTCTGGAGCTCTGGTGACCTAGAAGGTAAGGAATCACACTGCCAACGCCAAGGCCAGCAGTTCGAATCCACCAGCAGGGAGAAAGACAAGCAATCTCCTCTCGTGAGATTTTATTACAGCCCCTGAAAATCTACTGGAGGATCAGCTATAAGTTGGTTTTGAATTGATGGCAATGAGTGACTGCATGATTAGGGCTCTGTGCTGGTCTAGTGGGTAAGGAGCTGCACTGCTAACCCAAAGACAGGTGGCTCAAATCCACCAGCTGTTCCTCAGCAGAAAGACAGGCAATCTCCTCCTGTGCAATTTACAGCCTCTGAAAACCCAATGGGATAGAAGCGCAACAAGAGGTAATAGTCACTGAATTCTGTGAACTGTATGTAGAATTATCAAACCTATTACAAGGGCTAAAAGAACTCTGGGCTTAGTTTCAAAGTCCCATTGAGTTTCCTAGGTTGTAATCTTTATGGAAGCTGATTACCACTTTGTTCAGTTAACTGCTGAACATTTAACCACTGTGCCACTAGGACTCCTAAACTCAGGTGGTCTAATCCAGAGAACTGCAAGGGCAGACCAAGAAAGACACAGTCCTTTCAATGTGTAACTTACGCCCAGTCCCACAACTGCAAGAGCAGACCATGAAAGACACAGTCCTTTCAATGTGTAATCTATGTCCAGTCCCACACAGCAACAGGTAGCTGGTTCCATAGTATAGTACTTATCATGCCTGCTTTACATACAGAAGGCTCTGGTTCAAATCCCAGTAGAAGCAGAGTGGCTTCTTGAGATCTCTGGTGACCTAGAAGCCACATTACAACCTCAAAGGCACGCAGTTCAAATCCACCAGATGCTATAAGAGAAGGATGGGCAATCTGTTTCTGTGTGCTTTCTACTGTTTCTGAAAACCTGCTGGAGGGTCAGCTATGTGTCAGTTCCAAACAACAATGGGCCCAGTAGGACTTGACCAAGAGTTGCAGGCCTGATACTCTGAAGTATGGGAAGGCCTATGAGTACTTGGTAATTGGGGAGTAACCAAACTCTGGGTGGTTAGGGTCTGAGAGATGGATGGCAAAGAGGAAGTGATAAAGGTGGGGTCTGCCCACCTTATTCCTTTAGTAGTGCAGTTAGCCAAGTACTGGAAAAGTCTGAGAGTCCTTTTAATTCTCTTACAGCCTCTGAAATGTGGCTGTAAGGTGGCTCTCGGAAATGGACTATGGTGCAAGCTGGCATTCTGAAGTTACGACCAGAAGCCATCGTCTCTGAAGCACCACTGCACCTTGATGGTCAATGTCCAAGAAGAAAATCACACCTTGAGCAACAGACTTGAAACTTAAAGTCTCTTCAACCTGATAATGCAAATATCACAAGACTCAGAACCATGACAGAGAAAAGGGAGGACAGAGAAATGGTCTGAGGAAGAAAAGGAGTCAGGCTTCACAGTCCTACGTTTATACTTTTTTCCCCTTATCAGATCCCACTGAAGGAGAAGAGATTGAGTAGCCTTCTCCCCAAAACTTGGTACCTGAAGGGTGAAATATTCTTCACTCAGCTTCTTTTTTGGCTGAGTAGAGACACTGCTGGAGAGCAGAGCTGGGAAAAGAGAAGTGAGGTGGGACTGAGTGAATTCTGGGAAAACTGGCATCCCCTTTACCTCTCCCAGCTTTTATCCTGTTTGCTCACCTTGCTTAGTGTTCCTAGGCGGGGGCTTGGGGCAAAGCTTCTCCTTCTTGTGGAAGTTTTCTTCCTCAGTGCGTCTATCTCTCCCAGGACAGGCACAAACACGCACCTCAAAGCTATTACGTCCCAAAAGATTGCCACTAAACAGAATCAGAAAAGTAGGTGACAGTAAGGAAGTTGGGCCCTACTTGACCTGTAAGTTCCCCAAAACCAGGCCCCACCATGTCTCAACCCACCTCATCGTAGATGGAAGCTAAGCTCCAGCCCAGACATGTTGAGAAGCCAAAGGCAAGAGAGATCCCAAAGTGAGAGGGAAAGAAACTGGGAGAGAACCAGGAGGAGACCCCATATTTCAAGTGGGAGGAAGAGGGAAGAAGAAATACATGGTCTAGGCGAAGACAGTGATGGAAGGGGCTCAGGGAACAGAGACAGGAGAAAGTAGGAGGAAGGAGCCTGTCAATCTCAGAGTGGCATGTGGGTTCCCACCTGGAGTCTTCCAGAGTGATGATGGTAAGGATGGGCCTCCGATTCATGCCTCCCATGCAAGAGCTGTTACACATGAAGTTGTAGTGGATGGTGGTACAGTCAGAACCAACCTAGAGGGACACGGGCCCCAGGTGAGGTTCACTGGCTCAAGGAGAACTGGCGCAACCAGGGAGGCCTTCAGTGTCTGTGTGCTCCAGTTTTCTCACTTGTGGAATGGGAATAATCTACCTTCTCCACCCACTTCATGAAGTTACAGGGGATCAGGTAGATGCAGGAGAACGCCCCCCACGGCCCCACACCCCCAGGGACTGGATGATCACTGATACCTCCCTTCCAGCTCCCTCCTCTTAGACAATCCCACAGCCCAACAGACCTCAGGTGGCTCATAAGGTACCACCACGCTATGTCTCAGAGTGGTACTGTCCTCTAGATACTCCGCACGCAGATTTCCTTCCACTCGGATGAGGTGCTGAGGAGGGGCCAGGCCTAAGAGTAAACAGGGAGGAATTAGGGACATCAGGAACCTGTGCAGCCAGCCCCGTGCAACTCCAGCCCTGACTCTCACCGTCACTGTTGTCAGAGTTGCGTTCGTGGTGAGGGCAGCGCCTCACAATCTCCGTCATGTGCTCCAGTTTCTTGTAGATGGCCATGGTGCGGACGCGGGTTCCAGGTGGAGGTGGTGAGGTGACCCACAGCTGCACTGGGCAGGTCTTAGCCAGCTGGCAGAACAGCTTGTTAAGGTCAGGGGAGTACTGTACAAAAGAGAGGGTGGGGAGGGTCAGGTAACAAGGGTCAAGTGCTGTGGAAACACCCACTGAAAACCACATTCTATGTTGGAAGGGTGGCTCCAGGTAAAAGGATCAGTCTGTATTACAGAAGCTTACGCTCGAAAGCCAGGGGGAAAATGTGAAGGAAGAAAAAAGAGGCACCAACATCCCACATCCGAGAGAGGCCAAGCATCAGACCTTCAGAGTATGATGGAAAGGATGCAAGATGTAAGTCAAGGGGACAAAGGTAAAGTTTGGGAAAGAGGTCAAGAGTCACAGACTAGTTGGTGAAATTTAGAAAGAATGATAGGAAGTCAGTGCCAGGGGATGATGGCCCGATAATACAAGGTCACACAGGAGACAGCTCCTTGGTCCACTGACCGTGCAGGTGACAGACTTGGCTGTCCCAGACTGCAGAAAGCCCAGATGGAAACCATAGGTGCCTGGGTAGGTCTTCTGTGAGGGGACGGAGGATGACAGGGACCAGGACGTGGCCGGTACAGGGGCC